ATTGAGCTGTAGTGGGTAAATGGAACTACGGATTTTGATACATTTGCTGTGACAGACTGGAAAACCTGTCGCTCCCACTTGCTAAGAGTGCTGTGGTGATTTCAAATCACTAATTGTGAATTGTATTATGCTGGTCTGGCAGTTCGACAGTACAGCAGAGGAGTCGGGGTTAGGCTTGCCAGAGAGACGTAACACCTGATATTAATTCCCCAACTTGTAATGAACCATCTCCTCTCAACACCGACTTCGACTGTCGCAGGAGGAGGGGGAGGAAGCTGTTAGGTGATCGTGGCAGCCGGCACTCTACCCTTGTGAATCATCCCATATAGCCACGTCTAGGGTTTCACCACTGATTGCCACGGATGGGTGAAAAGGAGTGGAGAAGCAGGAAGCAGTTAAAACATTCATGAATGCTATTACTAACTATGAATAACAATAGTAAATTGCACCACACTCCGTCTCTCTCTACCTTGTCTGCATGCATAAATTCAGGCACTCTCCAACGAACGCGGGATTTGGAGCATTTGGTCCTCCATGGCGAAGTGCGGCACGTGATAATGTCCAATCAACGGGCGTGGTACTCAGTTTGTCTCTCAAGATGTCTCCGTTCCTCGCCATATTGTTTATGCCAATGAAAAGGCATGTCAAGAGCTCTCGATATCTGCAATGCGTCAGAATGTTTTGGTCAGGCAAACAGTACTGGCCAGACAACTGGATACGCTACGGGTAAACCTGCGAGACAAAATCCAGCATGCTGAACAGTCGGGATTTTAAGGTCTCCTGAGGTCAATCGGCGAATGAGGACATGCGGTTAGACCGTAATATTTGGCATTTACACAAAAAGTTTCAATTTTACTTATTGGTAGAAAGAGCGACATCATAACATGCTTTGTCGTTCACGAACGTGACACTGTTTAACCTCATGTGGCTTCTTTCATGCATGCCAAAACACGAATAATAAAGGCGTTATTCTACACTTTTGTCCTAATTTAAGCTCGAGCATCAATCCATTGGACGAGTGATTGTAGCTCCAACAAATTGTCTTTCAACTTCTTACCTTGATGTAAGTCACCATATTGTAACGATACGATGGAACTCTCCATTATCGCAATATGTTTCGAAAGTCAAGCAGAGTGGCAAGGAAATCGCCATATTAGGAAGAATTTTATACCAAACGGCAATTCTGCCATGAATTTAAATCTGTACAGAGTAAGAGAACCCTTGCTATGTTTCTCTCGCCATGGAACTTGGCCATGAATCTGCATTCTTATCCGCATGATGGTGTACAGATTGGTAGGGTGCAGGCACACTGTGCTGGAGGAGTGCCGCGTAGTTCTCACAAACGAACCCACAGGCCTCACAAAGGCACAACTCCTCGCGGCGCCGATCTCGTTCTTCCCTTAATGTCATCTGATGTGCTCCTCTCTGATGACCCTCCAACGGGAAGCTTCGGGTGAAACGACACGAGCATTGTGGACAATGCAGCTTTACTCAGTGGCACTGCACACGAATAAAAAAAAAGAAGGTTGAAGTGAAGACTTGGTTGCGCGTATGCGATTGTGATGCTTCATATTGAATGTGGCATTGAAACCCCTGATTCACCTCACGTAGAGGTAGAACTTGATGTCACTGCGACAGAGCAAGTGCTTCCATGTCTCGTAGGAGCCACCTCTCTTGATGGCACACAGCGCACTCGGTACCGCCTTCTGCATTCGCCTCACCCACCAGAGCAACAGAAGCCAATGTGATAACATGATGATCTTTTAGCTGGGATGCTTACAGAATGAATTCCTCAGCGTGTTCAATTGCTCTTGTAGATGGAGCCCTGGGTGCTGGATTATCCGCCGTGTTTTACTTGAGACCCGTGCTCTGGTAAATAAGTACCTCCCTCGCGCTACAACCGTAATGGTACTGCATCAGCGGAGAAAGCGGATGTGCCAATTCACTGCACCCATTATGTGGTGCAGCTTTCTCTTGCAAAATGGGTGGTACAACGGAGCTGGAATATTCAAATCATATGTATTTTCTCTAGATCCAGGCAGACTTTCTCCAAACGGTCTATTCACAGGCTCTGCTCTGGCCGGCATCTTATCTAGGAAGCCATGGTTTCATCACAACATTGACAATCACACTAGTGGACTATCGAGGTGGTTACTGGCATAATTCTCTAAAAGTTGGCGGCTGCAAGACAAAAATTATAAATCTCAGCAGCCAAAGACAATGGACCGGACATCTTCGTCAGCTTGTGTTAAAACACATTAACGATACGTTCGCCACCTTGGTGGCACCAGTTTTTCCTCTTGTAAAATGCAACGCCACTAGAAAATGTATCACAGCATGCGGGTCCTGTAACAGCTGCCTTGGCCAGGATCTTTCATGCAAGAGAGCATGCATAGGATTTGATTGGACATCAGTCGTGTTGGTTGGTAGAGTTTGGTGCTCTGTTTTGGCGAATGGAGTGCCGGAGAAGGCGAGACAGTATTTTATCAATTGCAGTTTGAGTGGTCTGGTGAGTGATTGGGTGGGTGTTTGCCAGAGTTGGTGGTCGGCGTCTGAATTGCCATGATACAATGGTGATGTTGAAGCTGGTGTCTAGCTGTGGCTATGCATACGCTATGCATCCATTGAGTCGGAAAGTGATAAAACCTTGGCGGCCAGGTGCATTTATGTGGATAACTTTCGTCGTACTAGACCGAATAAAGCTTCTTTCTTCCGGCAACTCATCAGTTTGCTGCCGGACTGCATACATCTTCTCACTGCGTCTCCTCATCAGACGTCTCTGCAGTCAGCACCGGCCACGTGCACGCATGCATATTCATCTCTTCTGGTCACAAACATCGTAGAAGTAGGAATGGGAAAAGGAAGAGAGGAGAAGGAAGTAGATAAGGGTACTTAATATGCAGAAGGGCGGTTTAATGTTCTGCACCTCAATGTTCCATCCTTCCAGACCCAAGTGCTATTGAAGCCCATTACCCATATCAGGCAGAGGTGAAAGGTTTCGTCGTTGTTTAGCTACATCAAATGCCCCTACATGCATTGTCTCAAGTTGCCGTTTTCCTCCATTCCACGTTTCGCCTCCGTTTGTGGTCATAGGAGTAGCAACTTCCTCCTTCTCCTTTGCATCAATGAGGTGTGGAAGATGTTTCACTCACAACTATTATGGCGTGTGCGGTCCTTTTTGCTTATCACAAATATTTACTAACCCCTTAAATGTAAACCCTAAACGAGCTGGTTGGACTGCAGCCTCCGTCTGATAATCCTATCTTCCATGGAAGGTGTATCTAGGTAGAAATCGACCTGTTCTAAAAGGTAGCACTCTTTTCTTCAGAGGTGGAACAGACAACCAAACTATGCACCTCCCCCACCATGTATATTCCTATTCATGCCTGCAAGGCAGGTAGTTACGATTAAAATCCATGCACTCCAAAACACGAGAAGAAGCAGAAAACTCCTTGCAGAAGACACTCAATAGAGCCACCGATGCCGCATATGTAGTAACTGCAAAAGTGGTCCTCAATGCCCTGCTACTGGGGATGAATTATATTTAGCATTCTTTAGCAAGCAAATTAATTTGTGTCATCAGATTGCAAAAGCAACTCGATCGAATAATGAGGTAACATCGAGGCACAAAGGATTAGCATGCCATCACACACGCTATGCATTCAAGAAAATTGGAACGGCAAAAAGTGATGGGGTTTGGTGCCTTTTTCCCATTATTTGCACATCCTTGAAGTTATATTTCATGATATCCCTTTGTTCCACCTAGGACGTCCTTCAGCGTAGCACTTGTAACTTTATGTGGAAAGCCATGTAGGTCGTTAGCGAATGTCAGGAGAAAAGAGAGATGAAGTGAAGTGCCACTTGGTGGTGCGGATAAACTCGTGTTATCAATGGAATTCCGCATAGCCCCATTCACACTCTCTGAGCAGATACATGAGCTGATTGGGGTGGTAAATCCGTGTGTGAATACTATGCTCATAAAATACTTGAGAATTTGGGTCATGTTTGGCCTCAGTGTGGGATCAATCTCACCCACTCACCGCGTAGTGTTGGTGGTTCTTAGTGATAAACTCCTTCACTGAGAACTTCCAATAGGTGAATTGAGTGGATCAAATCCCTAGGAAAGGCAAACAGCTACATATAGGCTAAAGGGCCCAATATCAGGGAGCGTTGTGACTGGTGTATGTAATGCGAATCGGGGTAGCCAATGGACCCAGGGAGCAAGTGCTACATTTGCATCTCATTAATCAGAGTTTTCCTCTTCATCAGTCTTTACTACCCACGAATATGTAGGCTAAATCGCAGACGCCCTTAACATCTAACATGCCTGCATTATGACATCCTGTTTGTACTGACAAATATTTAGTGATAAGGAAGTTTGTGCAGCCGGTTTGTCGCAAAATTGGCCGTTTATTTCTCATACAATATTTGGGAGAAGTTGCAAGTCGGCTATTTGCGATGCAGCTATGCTACGTTACACTCCTCTTCGGTGTAGTGGTAAGCCACGCCAGAGTAAAGAACAAGTCACCTTCTTTCTTACAAAGCATGCGTGATCAGATATTGTATAAACAGGTATTTTTCCTCTTCAAAATGGGGCAAGTGTTCTCTAACATTTAAAAAGGTAGGAGAAATCTAATAGATGTAACACTTGTCGTTTGAACCGAGCCAATATGATAAATATGCTTGTGAACAAAAAATTTCCCAAATGCAAAGCCTCCCGCGTCCGTAAGGTGGTCTGTCAACAAAATCGGTGATTGGGAAATGCCGAGTAGGTCGTCATCGCTAATCTACGATCGGGTACAGCGTGCAGTCGGGAAAGCAAAATGGAGAAGACCAGCGAATTCAGTGGAAGGTTTTCCAAAATTTGGTTTTTCTTTTTAATTTAGCGTTTACTGGAAAATGAAAAAAAATGACCTAGTGGAGTTGGAAGAAAAAATGTGGAAAAATGTTGCAGCAATTTGGATTTCTAGATTGGCAGAGCAGATTTTTAAGCATCCGCAAATGCCCATTGGTTTTTCGGCATCGGATTTAATCCACTACACATCGATGAATCAGCCCGACTGCACCCGCATCGGTGATTCAGTCTCCTTTTCTCCATGACTCCGTTGAACAATATGGCCTTGCACATCTGCGCGACAATTGACCTCACAATTCCATTTAAGCTACTGCATCCTCCCCATTCACTTGACCACTAAATCGTGTTGATGCGATGCAGCACGTTCAATAAAGATGACCTAATTCTTTTTGCTGTGATACTGACCGCAGTGTATGCAAGCCTCTTTTCATGCTACTCCAAAGCCGCACATTCTGACAAGTGCATGCTTATGATAGCATTGACGGTATCATTGTATGATAAGTGGAGTGTTTGGTAGACGGTGTCCTCCTCCCCTCTGCTCCATTTTACCTCTAACATGCAAGCGATGTTGATCCTAAGTCAGGGAAGACGGCAAATATTGACAGTTCTTTTCACTTTGTCAATTATTTGGACATTTGTTGCGCATCACAATTCAGTGATGAATTCAAGGAGCATGTTTATTTACTCACGGATCTAGACAGAATAGTGAAGTGGACCAGAATTAGTCGTGGTTTAGGAGGCCATTAAAATTACATTATAGCTAATCGCTATAATTATAAAATGATGTGATTTGACTGAAGGGCTGTGGCAGTTAGGAAGAGCACTCAACTTTCAAAAACGCGTCGCGGGACTCCGAGTTACAATGCCAGAAGCCAATCACAATGGCCATGATCTTTCTATTTTCTTAACAGAATGCTTAATTGCACTAAACCTAACCGAAGTACTATGAGCCCGTGACATTTTAATCATACGCACAAGGAATACATTAGGTCAGTGATTCCACAATTAATTTCCAGCCCACTAAATAGGCGAATGCACTGACGATTTGGAGGTGGGTCTTAACGTCCCTTGATGACAACTGAGTGAAGTGGTCTCAAGGGGACTTCTCGAGTGGAATTGCCTCACCATTCTCAAATGCATTGGCAGGTCATGATATTTTGCCAGGTAAGTCCTTTGTGGTGAGTATTTAGGTCACTGACCGCTGATGGATTGTGATAACCTGAGAGTAGGAGTCACGAATTGATCGGT